AGTGGCTTGCAGGGTCAGAGTCCTCAGATCTTTCTGGAAGGTAACTCCAGAAACCGTGGCTTCTCATTTTCTGTCAGTGGTTTAGTAATAAAATGCCTGGAGTGTGAGAGATACGTGGCCTATCAGCATGGAATTGGAGGGCTCAGCCCTGTCTTGGAGGACATGAGGCTTTGGAAAATCTACGTAAAAGCACTGCTTGGAAATTTTCTTCTAGGGCTTTTTAATATGTAATTTCTTTTTCCACTCCATATTGTGTGCAGAAGTATGTTACATCATCGTGTGTTTTTCACCTGCACGTCCACGGAGAGGAGCGGGATAAGCACAGTTGTGCTTGTCCAGCGTGTGCAGCGAGCTGGGGGTGGGTGTGTGATGGGGGTCACAGTCCCCTGGTCGTGGCAGGGCTGTCACCAGCGCTTGCCAGGTCACGGGTGTGCGAGACACAGCGTTGTGCAATGCCTGTGCAGTGTAAATCAAAGAAAACAACCCCAGTGAGCTAACTGAGAAAAGGAGGGGGGAAGATCCACCCCAGACCACTGAATGTAAAGGAGAAGGGAGGGAAGAGAGCATTTGGGGAGTGGGGGGATCCCCATCACTCTGCTGCTCACTGTCCTTCCCTACTGCTGCATCTCCATCCCTCGGAGGCTCCTGCAGAGGAGGCTTCGCTGCCTGTGGTGATTTATCGTCGGGGCAGGGTATCCTTCCATTGGCACATCTGGACCGTCCCTGCTGATTTTCCACTGGAACGTGGCTCGAGCCCCTTTGTTTTTCAGTCTGGGCTGCGGACATGCTCTACCGGCTGCCAGCTGGACGGCCGGCACCTTGGCCCACTCCCTTACAGCCTCTCCGTCTCTTCTTTGCTTTTCCCTTCTTCCCACCCTTTCTCCCCCTTCTCTTCCCCCTCCCTTTTCCCCTCAGTGATGGAAAAGCAGTTCAGATTTTCCAGGTTTACCGAAAGGGGAACAGGACCGGAGAGCAGGCGTGCCGCCTCCAATAAGTGTTTTTACGATTCTCCTCAGTGTGGAAACTCCCCTACGGGGTAATGGGGTTTCCGACCAGCTTCAGCTCCCCCCTGCCCTAAACGGGGGCAACCCCGCTGCCATCAGTTCATTAGCATTATTTTCTCCGGCAGTGGAGCTGCTCCCATCGGCTGGGCAGCAGCTGTGGTGGTTGATAGCTGCTGTCAGGAGCAGGTTAAGGATGGGGAGGAGGAAATATGGCTTCGAGCTACCTGAGCATTGATGTTTAAGTTTGACATCGCCAGGGCTGGAGTTAGTCAGGTATAATTTAAGAGGGATCCAGCATTTTACGGCCATGGCTCGTCTCCAGGGAGCCAAGTATATTTTGGATCTGGTTAGTTAGAGCAGGTTGCAAAATAACACCTTTCTTATTTTTAAAAAATACTAATAATTAAGAAAATATTTTGAGTTAGGAGAAAAGAATGTTCAGTTATTGCCAAAATTATCATTAATACTTTTGCCTGAAGGCTGAACAAATGAAATGATATACAGACGTTTTTCGTGCAAATACATGTCTGTTAAGGTTTTGGACAGGAAGGGCTTTCTCAGTGGCTGCAGTCTATTTCTGTGCTGCTGATCACCCCAATACAAACAGCTGGAAGCATTTTAGAAAAAAGAGACGCAGTATGCTTATCCTTCAATTTCGGGAGTTATGAAAGCTTGACAATTTTTAAAAACACTTATTTTTGAATCTTAAAAATAGTAAAGCTTGTCATAGAATTCCTACTGGTGTTTTTTCATTGAGAAGTCTAAAAGAAGCAATGAAATAATCATCCCCACTCTAAGCACCAGTTTAAATTGGCAGTTAGAGAGAATTGATTGTTTTTAATTGAGAAAGAAAGCAAATATTGTCAAGTTATATTTCTACATTTATTGAATATGAATCTGATTTTGCAGTTGCTGTAATCGATGGGAAACATCCTGTTATGCTCAGCGTGGGGTACCTGATACATGGTGCATTTATCAGCACCGCAAGCTACAACCATATATGGCTGTTAAATGCAGAATTTCTGTTTGCACCCTGTGTTTTGAGGATGCACTGAAAAGGAGTTATAAACTTTTGAAGAAATCGTTTGGAAATTCACAGTTTTGGGAGTTGAACGCAATTGATAAAGCTGTGTTTATGGTTGCTTTTAAATCCTTGAATTTGCTGAGAGCATGCAAGTTGGATGGATGGATGCTGCAGAAAACATCAGGTTGTAACTCTTTCTGCTTTGCTCCCTAGAATGTGAGAACTTCTTGGAGGATGGGCTGAGTAGCGTCTGTGCCTCATCACAGGGTGTCCATAAAAGAGAGTCTGGGAGCGAGTCTGACCTCTTCCCCTTGCCTGGTGATGGGATGGAAGACCTTGTCTTTGGAAAGGTAGGAAAGCCTGGTTGGGATATGGTTAAAAAAGCTCTCAGTCATGATTTGATAAACCTGTACTGCAGATGCAGATCATCTTGGTTTCACTGGTGAGTTAGAAACCTGGGAGTGATTATCCTGGAACAAAATAGGTAGGAAGGATCTGGTCCTCTTTTCAGATGCAGCAACATGAGGGATGTATTTACTTGCAGCAGAATTCCAAAAACTGTGCAGCCCCTGATGTTGAAAAGATGAAAGCAATTTGGACTGTCCAAGAGAAAATCAGGTGCTAGAGGAACAGTTGAAAAGGTGGATTTCCTTGCAAGGTCATGAGGGATTGCACAGATGGTATGAAAGCCATCTTGAACTAATGTAACAAAGGGCTTTTCTCCAGCACGCCCTGACCTCTGCACTGACACCTTCAGAATCATATACTGTACTTCTCAGAGGAGATGGTGTTTTTCTGTGAATTCACTGTGACTCCCTGGATAGGAAGGAAACACTCTTGATACTTAAAGCCAATTCCAATGAATAGTTTTGTTGCCTAGGCAACATACCTCTAGTGCCTTTTTGCATGCAAGTAGAAGGAAAATGTTTTCAGGTTTGCTTAAAATCAACAATAGAAGTCATATCTAACCTTAGTCATCCCTGTGCCCTTTGTGTTGCTCACGGTCGAGAAGGGGAAGGAGGAGTGGGTGAGACCTGAGGTTCAGAGTCAGCCTCTTGAACAGAGGATGCCTCCCTTTAGCATCGCTCTTCTGCAGTCTGCATCAGAGCAGCCTGAATCTAAGCAGAGAGTGATTAGGTTTTGCTTTTTAAGAATCATCTTACTGGTAATTTCTATTCTTCCTGCCGTAAGTAGATGATGAAAAAGCACCCAGAAAGAATAGAGGGATGCAGAATCAAAGAGGATGTGAACCTTCCTTAGAGCAGCCATCACGTTGGTCTCAGCTCCATGAACTCACACACTTAGGTTCAGCTCCAGCTTACCTGTTTGAGCAGGCACGGTTCCTGCTCTGAAAAACCAAACTTTTGGAGTAGGTTTCACACTTGCTTTCAGAGAAATGTATTTAATGAAACAAAATTCTGTTTGCTTAAATCAAATCAGATGATGGTGAATATTTTCCAGTGGGACGGGAAACACCACAGCCCAAGCTAAGTGATCTCATGTGCTATAAATGAACAGTCAAGTCATCCTTAATGCATGCGGTAGGGCACAGCTTTCCCATCTCACTCTCCAAGTGATGTGGGACCCTGGATTGTGAGGATATAAGGCTGTTTGGCAGAGCAGAAGACTGTCTTCAGTTTTCTTGTGTAGAGTGGCACAAATTATGACAAACAACTGCCATTTGAGCCTGACTTAATGTTTGTATGGGGATGTGTGGGAGAGGAGTGCTGTGGGAGCACAACACGTTCTATATTGTGCAGTATTTTAGCTTTTTCCCATTCTTATGTTGAAAGTTTCCCTCTCCGAAGATGAGAGAGAAAAAGTAAAACTTAAGAAGAATAGGTAACGCAGTGTAGTAGGGATGCTGCAGGGAAAAAGAGGAGGTGGTGGGGAAAGCAAATGTTCCGTTACCAGTGGAGAGCAGGCAGAGAGAGGAAATTATTTGCTTTGTAGAAAGATAATTTCTGAATTTGGCAGCCTTTGCATTGTTCTCATTATGCAGTGGATTGCAGACTTTATTTACAAATGGGTTCAAAAGGTTCCTGAGTTGAGTTTAGGAAGTTGTTCAAAGCTAATCTCAACCTCAGTTGCTTTTTGTGTCTCTGCTGACTAACTCTATTCCTTGTCTCCTTTCTCAGAATTCACCTTAGTACCTTTTCTACAGTCAAGGTTATTTTGAGTAGACCCAGAGACACTGGTTTAGTCTTGCCACCTTGTTCCTTAATTCAATCTTTTTTTTTTTTTTCCCCCCCACTCTTGAGCCCAGCTGATAGAAATGCAAGTAATAATTTTTTTTTAATAACCACTAAAATAAGAGCTGGATGTAATTTTTCTTCTGAGTAATATTATAAGATGCATGTCTTGGTTGTGTCTGGTTAGTTATAAGCCTATTAAATGGAACAATTTCCATATCAAATCAGGAAGAGAGAGAGCGTGTTTATGAATAAAAAGAGGATCTCAAACCTTTCAGTGTCATGATGATTATTGTTATTACTAGTCTTGTTCTTGTTTCTCCTTTGTATGGAGCAAGAATTGAACTTCTGTCTATTAGAGCTGTTTTTTTATAGATTCATAGAATCACAGAATGGTTAGGGTTGGAAGGGACCTTAAAGATCATCTAGTTCCAACCCCCCTGCCATGGGCAGGGGCACCTTTCACTCGACGAGGGTGAGGAACGCCTTATCCAGCCTGGCCTTGAATACTTCCAAGGATAGGGCCAAGCATCCCCCCCGATAAACGCACTGAGACCCAGAAAAAAAAAAAAAAAAACCCACACCAAAAAAAACCCCAAAAACAAACCCCAGAATGTTACATTGATTACATATTATTGTATAAATCCGTTAACTGCTGAATGGACTTGAAGAAATTTAGGAAGAACTGTCCAGGGTCTCTGGGCTGCTTCTGTAGGCATCGCTTGAAATTCATGGAGATTAAGCCCTGGTTCTGTCCCAGGACCATGGAGAATTGGGGTCTGTGTGCTCACCTGCTCTGCAGGTACTTTAAACTGTCCCTGGTGCTGGGTGCACGGGCTCCTTACCATCTCCTCGCTGTCTCCTATGCCTGTCTCCTGATTTTATGCCTGGACAGACATATGCTGAGCTGCCCAACATGAGCTGCCGGGTTCAGGGAGCTTTAACACTAAAACCTGACTTGTGTTTTCACACTTCAGAGGCCGTCACTGAACTCCAAAAATCGCTTCCAACATGAGGTCTAAGGCTTCAGCAAAACGTTTTATTTTTTTGTGTCAGTGCTTCATTCCCATGTCCTCATCATCCTGCTTTTCCTTCTCCGTCTCAGCCATCTGGGCAGGCTTTGCAACACCCTCCTTGGATGATTAATGCTGCATAAGGTAATTTCTCACAGTCATCTGGCTGTGTCCTGGGGCGTAGACCATACGCTTTGCTCATCTTAACTTTTAACCTGCCACTGAAATTCAGTGTTACTGGGAAGATTTTAATGTGCCTCTTGGGAAATGATTCAGACTAAAGGCCCTTGGGAAGTCAGGAACCCACAGAGCATTGTCAAAGGAAGGGGTTGCAACCCTTCAACTCGGTTTAATTTCTGCCTTTGTTTTCATTTGTTCAAGGAAATACACAAATACATAAATATTTGCATTTATTTTTTCAGAATTATTGTTTCTTAACAAATAAAAAAAGCAAAAAAACCCCCAGCAAACATGCAAAAAAAAACCCCATACCTGAAGGAATAAAAGTTTAAAGAAGAAAGTCTTTCGCCAGGGGAAGACACCTCAACTCCAAATCATAAAAATTATCATGAAAAATTAATAGGAGGCCACTATTGAGGTTAATTTTTGGGAGCCTGGAGTCATAGGCAAATCCAAATGAAAAATGGCTCTGCTAGATTATATGCCCAGCCAACCAAACATGTTGACTCCTTTAGTGCAATGGCATGCCAAATACACTTCAGGATGCCAGGGTTTCATTATTTTTCATCTTTTTTTTTAAACACTGTAACACCTTTAATGTCTTTGTCATGTGGAAGATCGGAGGACAGAGTAAGTTTGCGTGTTGTCATCACGAAAACAATTGAAAGAGCATTTTAATTCCAATTATCAAGATCTCCTGCAGATGGGAGGAATTTAGTTGAAGAAGTTATCTCTGCCTCCACCATCCTGGTGATTTCTCTTATCTTATTTCATATTCATGAAGAAATATGTCCGTTCTTTCTCAGAAAACTCACTTATGTCTTTTTTATCTTATTTTTTTCTTACTAACTTCTCACCAAGTGCTTTTTGTGAAGGCCAAGAAGATGCCCATTAGCACATGTCTGTAAAGGCTCTTTTAGCCATGGGTTTTGTGGTCACAGTTAACGGTTGAATTCATTGAGGTGCAGTGCAGCAAGCCTAACTTGAGGAAAATTAATCTCATTTAATGCTTTATTTTTCCTGTTGGAAAAGAACACATTAGAGAACCTTTTCTATTCTGCAAAGAGGGTGTTTTCTTACTCAAAGAAGAATAAAGAGCAGTGCGTGTTTACTGGCACTTGGCCAGGTAGCTCATTTTTTGCAGTTTGCTACAATATAGATGCTGCTCAGATGTCAGCCACGCTTGGCATTTTGCAGACAGAGTCCTGATCTTTGATACTATTTGGTTTTGTTTAAAAGAAAAAATAATAATAATTGAATGAAGACAGAATATTTTTAGAGGAATAAGCATGGGCTGCAAGTTCAAGGGAATTGTTTATTGTGTTCTGTGGTTCTGATGATCAAGGTAAAAGTTAAAATGGACCAAATATACTTTGCATTTTTCAAATATCTTTTTGAACTGCACTTTACAATAGACACCCTAAATCTTCCCTTAGGTGGGTTTTGTTGTGCATTTTAAACTGGAGCAGTATTCTTATCTGGGAAACAAAACTTCCTCTTTTTACTTTAATTCCTCCCTATGTAGTATGATGTTCTGCACTGTTGTCACTAGATTTGCATCTGGATTTCATGTTTGCAAACTGTCCCGTCCTTCCCACTGTGGAGCGGGCGGGTAGTCCTCTCTCCTCCTGCTCTGCTGCCCTCATGTCTAACGGTATTTTCCTGTGTCTCAGAAAAGTGAAACAGACTGTTTCCTCTACTGAAGGACTATTATCCACATAATAACTACTTAATTTGTCTGGATTTAAGCAATTCAGTAAGGTCTCATCATGACTCACACAAATATCAGATTATCTTGAATAAAGCCAGACATCATCAAAAACTTTACAGTGCATCCATTTCAGTTTTCTCTTATTTTAACTTATATTTACACGTGTCACATCCAATAGTTTACGGTATGTTTATTATTAAAGTAATTACACAAATTCACCATTAATCTTTGCATTCCTCACCCTGAAATGCATGCTTGGGAAGGATATATTTTTAGTGTGTTTTTTAATATTTTGTGTGTGAAAGGTATATTGTACTTCGGTGTTGTGCTGTGGGCGCTGTCTTTCCCCACCCCCTTTTTTTTTTTACTTTGATGGATGGGAGAGGGGCAAGAGTGCGACAGCAGCTAATTTAAACCACCTTAGGAACATTATCGTGTATCTGTTAAACCAAAATGAGAATAAAAAATAGCCAAACTGGAAACGGGGCTTCCCTGTAAATAGCGAAATATTTGGTTAGAATACTTTTAAAACATCTCAGAGTCTTTTTATTCAGTTTAACAAGAAGCTTTTAGCTTGTAACGCGTGCCCATCAGAAGCACAGAAAAGCAGAAGTGTCTGGAGCATTTAACACCACCACGCTCGAGCGAAGTCAGGGCAGTGGGATCCAAGGTGAGGCCTGCTGTGGGGCAGCACCGCTTCCGTTCATCCTGCCCTCCATGGGTTTTGATGCCCATCTCTCCCTTCTGGGAATGGGGTTTCGTAGCCCGTTGACTTCTGCCAAATGAGAGCTGACAGCCTGCAGCTCCTTGAGCACTCAGCTTCTGCTGAGACCCACCAAGCCTGCTATTTGAAGACAATTAACCGCTGTGGCTTTGCTGAATAGTCTATTATGTATGGTCTGACAGATCATTCTGCCTATTATTATTTTAAATGATACAGTGCAGGGCTCTGCAGGAGAATAAATTGAAACTTCCCACGTCAGTCCCTCGGGGCAAACACCATTTGAGACGGAAGGTGATGTCAGAGAGATGCTCGTGTTTTTTCATGCGAGCCACGGGGCACACAGAATATGCGCAGGCTCTTCTCGGGCTGTATGGTCAGCGTGTGGCCTTTGGCCAAAGAGAACTAGCTTGGCTTCCACTTACTGCTTTTGGAGCAAACGAAACCAATGACGCAAGACCTCTAATACAGGGCAGCTCATCCGGTGGAACGCTATCAATTACGGTTGGATTTGAAAAATGCTGCAAACGCTGGCATTAACTCTCTGCTTAATGGAAAGTAGTGGGGGATGGGATTTAAGGCTTTATTTTTTCTGTTTTCTGCTGCTGAATAATTGTCCCTTTCGTGCTGCATGATGCAATGCAACGATATGTTGTCCTTGAACCCTCATGGCTGAGAGCTACTAATCCATCCCGGGTCCCCCAGGAGAGGCTGGAGTTTGTCATCAGGAGTCATGATAACCCAGTTTCCCAGTCATCGCTCTCCGTAAACCGTCAGCGGTTTTATGGCACCTTGACTGATAACAGGTTCAGCCAGAAATGGTGAGAGGAGCAGGATTTGCTGTGCAAGATGAAATGTGGAATTGGAGAAAGGAAGGCAGGGAGGAGAGGACCTGAACTTGGGAGCCCAGGGTTATGGCAGCTAGGGACTCGTGCAGGGGCAGAGATTGCTCTGCAGAGGATTTCGACCTCTCTTAAAACCAGAGCAAAAAGTCTCACTGTTGTGATGGTTGATTTGCCTCATGCTATCAACTAGGAGACATCTCAGCTTGTGTGAAATATAAAGTATTTGCATTTATTTAAAATGTTAAATGAATTGACTTCATTTGAAGTGTTCGAGGCCAGGTTGGATGGGGCTTTGGGCAACCTGACCTAGTGAACCATGTCCCTGCCTATGGCAGGGCGGCTGGACTGGATGATCTTTAGTGGTCTCTTCCAACCCAAACCAGTCTGTGATTCTACTCTAATACATTTTTTATTTTTCCTGACCCACAGCAGCCTGAAGAGGAGCAGTCTGCCTGCGATGTCACCAGCTCCAGTTCCTCTGCTGATGACACCATGTCCCTGGAGAGGAACTCATCCCTGGGCAGCGACACATTCCTTCCCTTCCCACCGATGGTGAACTTTGTCCAGCCAAAGGACAGGCACAGCCTGGATGGCAGCTGCAGCAACATGGCAGCCTCAGAGGGAGGAGAGAAGGAAGAGGAGCTGGATAGTATCACAGATGTACCCACTCATTCCTCTGTCTTACGAAACTCCATGCGGCCACTGTCACCTTTCCGTCGACACAGCTGGGGGCCGGGGAAAAATGCCACCAATGAAGCAGAAATAAATCAAAGGAGGTGAGTGAAGAGCTGCTTTGATTTACTTTGCACCCACTCGTGCATATTTATCTAAGCTTTAGACTCGACATGATAAAACAGGAAACCGGGATGTCACTTCTGGTTGTTTCTTTTTCACTTAAAGGGGTGAAAACAATCTCCTAATGTATGTTTGGTTTTGAAATTAACTTCAGGATTAAAGTACTTAATACCTACAGTGTGCTTGAGCTTTGCAGAGCAAATGGAATTACCTTGAGACATGTCTTCCATTTGATCTGTCACCACCTCTTTCTACACCAAGGGCTTTGTTAAAGGAATTACTGGAGTGGTAAATCTCATTGGCCACAAAATAAACACAACCATTATTTCTCTGACTTTAGTAAGAGAGAGCATAGGTACCAGGGTTTTAAAAAAAGGTAGGGAGGCTCCTCATAATGGTGAGAGTGGGTAGTCCCTGTTTCATGGAGTTGGCTCCCCCTCAGTCTCATGGACAGTAAGTCCCACCCAACTCATCACCAGTGTCCCCAGTGATGCCCAGAAGATTCAGAAGGGAAGTTTTCTCATTTGTTCTTTCAGAAGACACAAGAGGGAGAGGTCTAACAGCCATGTGATCATGTAGCTGCTGTTGGCAAGTGGCTGAAGGAAGAAAAGGTGCTAAGCCCCCCATTCTCAGTGGGGAAAAAGGTGAAGGAAGATGCACACCAAGATGGTAGTTGGTGTATGGTTCCCCACTGTCTGTGCACCATTCAGCATCTGGGCTGCCAAATGCTTGGGGTCAAACCCTGCGTGTTCTGAAACCAGTGAAGGTTTGGTCAGTGGTTTTTAATTGCCAATTGTTTTAGCAGGGTCAGGGTGCCGTAGCCTCCCACCCCTCCAGTGTAGACCTGCAGCTTACAGAGGCTGCAGGCTTAGGCGTGCAGCACAGTGCTGCTCTCCACACTGCCTGCTGCTGTCTTCATGGCTACGGGTCTGCTTTTAAGATAAATGGAGTCATTGCACTTGGTGATGCCATTAAATTAAAAAAATGACCACTCATAGTGGGTACTTGGTGTGTTGTTACTGCCCAGTTTGGACAATCCAGTGAGGGCAGCAGCCTCGTATCCGATATGTATGCATCCTTTAGATGTTGGGAGTGTGCATGTCACTGAGGAGTATCATAGACCCTTCAGATTTTAAAGCCAGTGTTGAAAAACATTCAGAAACATAGCAACATAGGGTGAAAGATGGTATTATTGTTGTTGTTGTTATTAGTGTTGTTGTTTAGCACTGCTACATTTTATTTGCTTAATTTCTGTTCCCCAGGTAATATTTAAAGAAATTAAGTAATACCTATCTTTGTAAAGCTGCAAAAGACAGCATGCAGGTTTATGACAGACTGAGTCCATAAGCTCATAAACTCATTTAGAGAGATTTATTTTTAAGCGTAGGACCTGTTATGTAAGGATTTCTGAGGGTAATAAACTGCATAGCTGGCAATTACTGGCTAACACTTAACAGATGGGGTTAAATTCTTCTGCATCAGACTTGGGAGGCTGTTTCTGATATGGGAAAATACATTAATTGTAAATGTAAGAAAATTTGAGTTAAAGGAAGAGTAATTATTCTCATATGTTCTTAGATACAGCTGCTGCTCCATAAGGATAGCTGTCACACTGGTTAATTAGAAAAGCAAAGCTGTGTGGGTCTTTGCTGCTGATTTGGTTTCTGTTTGCTTTTATGTTTCTGTTCCATAGGAAACAGATTAATTTGGGTTTGTTGGGGTTTTTTTTCTTTTTTTGTTCTTTTCCTACGTGGCTGTTGTGATGTTGAGATTCTGGTTGCTTAGTGAGCAACAACAAATACTGAGGAAGTGAAGCCCAAACAATTGACTTTCATACAAATCATATAAATTCAGGGTGTTTTCCTTATTTATTTCACATGCAATAGGTACTTTTCCATTTAAAGGGGAAAAGCCCTTATTGTAATAACTTGGCTTTTGCAAACCTTGGAAGGGAAGTAACACGGAGCACAAGCCTTAGCTAAAGTTTGTTGTGCTGATGGGCAGGAGCTGTGCTGCTCCCTCTGCCTGCCAGCCCTTGTCCAAGCTTCCTCTTCTCCTTGGGCACCCGTGGCACTTTGCTTTGTTGATGAGGAGTTCGCACTCACTGAATGAGCAGAAAATGAACCACATAAAGTGGAATTGCCACTAAACCCCAAGGACTAGAGCTGGGCTGCACAGCTGGGAAGAGGAATGGGGTGGCATCAGCCAAGCTATGAGAGGTGACTCCTGCCCTAGCAAAGGACTCGCGGCCTGGTCCAGACCTATCCACACCAACAAGTCTTTCCCACAGTGGAAGGGGTATCCAGGTCAAGCTTAAATAGAGCTGCTGATACAGGGCCTGAAGAGCCTACGGAAAAAAATCAGGTTTTGTAGAATTTGGTCTTTTCCAGCATTACAAGTTTTCTGTGTGTAAGAGGGATGAGCATAAAAGGTTGTTCAGAAAAAAGATCAGAAGAAATGAAGAACCTGAAAGAAATCAGAAGAAATCATCTTAAATAAAACGTTAAAACATGCTCAGTACCCCTCCGCTTCCCCTCTCTCCGCAAATGCACTTCATGGATAATCCTCATGTCTACATTTTGCTGTTAAAGATACAAAGAAAACTAACAAGCTGCCACAAAAGGATGTTCATCCTTCACTTAATTCCTGACATTCATAGCAGATTTGAAATGCCTGTCTTTCAACAATGGTGCAGTGTTCTTAACGCTCGGGTCTGAGGACAGAAACGCTGGCATTTTTCACTGATGGATTAAGCGCTGCGAAACTGGAGCTGGTGTTGGTCAAGGTTGCTAACAGCTTCTGTCAGATGGTTTGTCCTTACCTAGACTGACTTGACTTTGGCAGCAGCTCAGTTGTAACGGGGTCAGTACCTGTGAAACCTTCTTTCTGTACCAAAAAGAAAAAACCAAACCAAAAAAAAACCCCAAACCCACCAAAAGCAGATTTATTCATTAAAAAAGGAGAGAGGAGGAAAAGAGAGACCCATTACTTCATTTAGTATTTAATGCTGTGTTTTCTCTGTATGTCCATTCCCTCTGTGTTCATGGGTTAGGGATGTTGTTCCTTCAGCTGCCATTTGTTCGGGTTTTTTTTCCATTCAAGCTGCTGACCCACTCTCCATGATTCATTTTCAGTTCAATGCGAGTTCTGGGGGATGGTATAAGGAAGCCTCCCATTCATAGGAGAAGGTACAAAGCCAACTAACAGTGACTGACTGTTTTGCGTTTGAATGTCTACTAACTCCATACTGTCATGGTAGTAAACCTGTAGTACCTCTCAGAGCACTGGCGCTGCGCATCCCGCTTGGCTGCTTTCCCTCTCCAGTCTGACCCAGGGCAGTTTTTCTGACCCACGAGCACATGCTCAAGCCATTTTCTCCAGTACGATAGGTTAATAAACTGGAGAAATCTCCGATATCGTTTTGTTGGCCTTTGCCATAAGTAAGATTTGGAGTTGTATTAAAAGAATTGTTTACCTGCGAGCATGTGCGTAATTTGGATTTAAAGCACATCCAAGACTCCTGCCAAGACTTGCAGGAGAGGCACCTGGGGAGGGGATGCATCAGACACGATCTCAGAGTTGGAGAATACTCTGAAGATCTGCAGCTGGTTGAATTAAATGGCTTTAATTTTGCTCTTTTGCTGCTTTTATTATAACCATCTTCCTAAAAAAAAAAAAAAAAAAATAGAAATTAAGATATGTTTTTTTTCTTTACTTCCACGTGGTTTTCTCCTGTATAGCAAGCTTGCAGTTCCTCATCCATCACGCAGATAGGCATTTTCACTCACGTAACCTTTGTGTCGTCTGTTAACATTTAAAATAGGACACTTAATTTTTGACACAGCAGACATGTGGACTGTCCACACTTAGACATTTTTAGGCTAAAAGAAAAGACAAGTTTAACCTCTCCCCATCAGTGGGTCAACCTCTTATCTCCCACAGCCTGCTACCTCTTCGCCTGTGGCAGGTTAACTTGGGATTTCACGTCCCTTGGAATGGATAGGGTTATATGTGTGTAAACACACACATGGAAAAAATGTTACCATGATGTTATTACCAAAAAAACCCACCGTGCCTTAGCATGCATCAGCATAAATAAGCCATCTGAGCAGGGCTGTACAGCTCAGGAGAGGGGTCTTAAAAACGAATTTTTAAAAAAGGCACAAGAGCAAACATGGATTTCTACTTCTACGAAACCACTTTATTTGCATCACTGTGCAGGAAGTGCAGTGCTCCTCAGCTCATGCAAATCAACATCTTTTTACCAGTTGTCTGTTAAGGCTCCTCTGTAGGAGCTGTGTTAGTATTTAGAGTCATCATGTCTGGAAACACTGCACTTACATGTAGAATAAAGAAAATGTCTCAAATAGGCAACCTAAAATACCTAGTCATATCTGAAACGTGTGGTAATTCTTTCATAAGCATTCTTTCTGGTTTCGTTTTGGGGTTTTTTTCCTGGCCTCCCAACCGTTTTGGTATCCTCCTCTCTAACCCTGGTTGCAGAGCAACAGCCTGAAACTAATTCCAACAGTTTATGCTCTCCCACAAGGCTGATGTATATAATAGCTCATCCCCCCTCCCCACGTCGTCTTCTGTAAAGGGGTTTTGCATGCTCTGCATTCATCTCGTTCAGTTTTTATGGCGTTGCCAACGGACTGTGGGTGGCTCCCCAGCAGGATTGTAATTCTGTAAGACTGCTTTCCACAGCCTTTGCCAAAAGGTCTTTTTTTTTTTTCTCTCTCTGAGACCTTCTACCACTTCCAGACTTCCTCCTACATATATGCATGGCTCCTCTCCTTCCCTCCCTCCACTCTTGCCCTTCCCTGCAGTTTTAGGTTTTGGGATTCTCACTGTAACACAGCAGTGGTCAGGAACAGAGGCATCTTTTAAAGTGCACTATTTGGTGTGAATGTTGCATCGTTCCTTTAGGAAGGAAAATCCTCTTTTCTTCAATTGAAAAGTTACTACACAAGAATTACTGACTTTTGCAAACAAGTCAGCATCACTTGATGTTGACTCCAAGGGTCCACCAGGCCCAGCAGTCTTGGGGCCACAAGCAGATCATCAAGGGACCTTAAAGATCATCTAGTTCCAGCCCCCATGATGGCTGAGGGGAAGCAAGGAGAGGTGAAACACGAATGATAAATTCCTTGGGATACTTTCCTAGCCTCCATCTAGGTTCTGCCAGGCAGGTTTTACTGACCAGCTGGGTGGCTGAACTCAAGCCTGAGAGTGCAGACTGAGGTGGATGATGAAGATGGGTTTACTCTGGCCAGACCTTGGTTCTTGTATGATCTCAAGAAAGTATTTAGCCCCCCCCCCATCCCTCGCTAATACTATATCTGCCACCGTGGTCTGTCATAGAATCACAGAACGGTTTGGGTTGGAAGGGACCTTAAAGATCATCTAGTTCCAACCCCCCTGCCATGGGCAGGGACACCTTCCACTAGACCAGGTTGCTCAAAGCCTCATCCAGCCTGGCCTTGGACAATTCCAGGTTTAGTTGGATGATGAAGTACTTGGAAATACTGGCATGTTATGGGAAGGTATGTCTTCATGAAGAATGCTTATGGTACTGTGCTGGGAGCTACTGGTGAAGCATACCTGGAGCTTTGGGGTGCAAAGCACAGGTATTTTGGGTATATCCTCACCCAATTAATATCCCTAATGAAACAGGTTGCAATTATCTGTACCCCACCATTGAACAACCATCAAACCCTTCCTGAATGTTTCCATTGCTGTTCTATGTGTGGAAACTATACGAGGACTTGACATGAACTGATGCAGTCGGTGGCTTTAACCTTCCTCTGTGCCTTCTGAGGCTTCTGGCATTCACATATCCTGGCCCAGGGATGTTTAGACTTGTTCTGTCCTTTTTGTAGGCTGCTGGCCTGGAACAAAGCCTGCTCTGGCCTTGTCCTCTCCTTGTGTGGATCGCAGGCCAGGGGCTGGGAGCAGGACTTGTGCAGTGCTGCGCAGGCAGATCTGTGCTGATGCAAAATTCCCTTCAGACGACGTATGTTTCCTGGACAGCTTTTCCAGGATTTAGGGATCCTTTATATGTCATAGCTGACAAGAAGATTGATTTCTCTATGTCTGCAAAATCTGCAGTTGGGCCATAAGCTGACAGAGAAAAAATAACATAAGCAGTATTTAAAATAACAGCCAAAATATTTGCATTCTGTATTTGCATTTCTTATGTCTTTCATGATGCAACTTAGGACTCTTCTGGGGTATGGGAGCTGAAAGGTTTTCTAGTCAAAGACCTCTTGGAAGGACTCTTGATTTAATCCCAAGCTAATAGTATGATGAGCCTGTTTTTTGATTCCATCCTCTTTCACTGGTTTGCTGTGCAACATTTAAGAGTGTAACTGTTTCCTTATTTTTCGCCGTGTATCCTGAGGTTGTTAATACTTGTATGGAGGGGACTGAAATGATTTAATATCTGTAAGGGATTCTTTTCCTGATCTGGGGAGGAGAGGTACCAGAAAAATACTAATCATTACTAACACAAGGGCTGTGTGTGACTACTTGTGTGAAATTAGCTTTGGTGTGCTTCAGCCTTGTTTTCCCAAATAACCTCTCTCCCCAAAAGGAGCAGTTTCTCCAGTACATTGTATACTCACCTATGGGATCAGTTTGGGGGAAGGATGGGCTGTCCTGCTCCCTGTTAGGTGGTAACCTCGGTCATTTGGGGCACTCTGGTGTGTTCTGGAAGCCAGAAATATATAGTAGCTACTTCATTATTTCTGAGTTTGGTTGTTTGTTGGGTTTTTTTTTTAAGGTATGCAAGAGTGAGAGTTTTTAGCATTTCCCCTGTTCTATAACAATCCGATAATGACAGCCCTTTTCCTTTCTTTGCCTCTTTTGATGTTCCTAGTTTGAGCTGGTGTCCCTCTGGTGTACAGTTCATTGCCATGGGTCCTGACTTTTCTTGTAGAAGGTACGGTATAAATAAACGTGCAGCAGCAGCAAAGGAGCACTGCGAACACCCTGTCGTCAGCTTTTTGTGCCTCACCTTTTTCCCTGCTGCTCTGTCTGAAGCGTGCACGCCTGCGTTTGCTTCGTCTGCTTTTTCAGCAATTAGTCTTGGGAATGGGTTTGCTGCACTGGGGTGCAGATGAAGGTGGTGGCTGCTTTCCATTGGCCTCGCTGTTGGTTTGAGCTGCTCTATTCCGTGATGGTTTTAAGGTGTGGTTTTTTTGCAGCAGTGATTGTAACGATAACTGTGACAGCCAGAGAATCAAAACAAGAGTTAATGTGATTCAGCACCGCTTTGTTCTGGATGGATCTCATAAAGGATTTAAGTTCATACAGACTTGCTCTTTGTAAATTGAAAGATCTAGTTTTTTCTTCAGAGAGACTAATCATGTAAAATTTTCTGTGGAAAAAAAACCCAAAACAATGTAATAGCCACTGATGAAAATTTCCAGGTACTTAAAGCTTGCATCTACTATAGAAAGTCCCAGAGTTGAGAATGATGCTTGCAGGTCAGTTCTTTACCTGATGTTGCCTGGAAGCTGGTCTCCCAGATATTATAGCTTTATAGCTTTCCCCTGGCTGTTCTTGCTAGTTGTGGGTAGAGCTACTAGACTCTTTTTGTGAAGACCAGATATTGAGAAAGAAGTCTATCTGTCCTTCCCGTTCCTGATTTAATTGCATATGGTCTGTATACCCCAACCATCACATTACAGACCAGAATCGCCCACTGATAACTATTTTATGAGCTAATATTTTCAGTTTTGAGCTGTTTGTGTCAGAACAAACTATATGATTGGGTTTTTTTCCACACTATGTAATGTTGTTACCACCTTGGGATGCAAGAAAATAAATATTATTCTGCCCTAAGTAATCAGTATAAATGGGACTGATTTCTCTCTGCAAGTGTTTTAGAATAAACTTTGTAATGCCTGCTATTGATACACATTGTTGAGTCCAAATCTTCCTAAAGCAGATTAAATTGTAAATGCCTTAACCAGTCTTCTTTCTCGTTAACTACTACGAAAAAAAATCTTTACAAACTTATTAAATCTTCTTATTCAAGGTTTATTGCAGTGTTTCTTTGAAGGTGCATATTTATCAGCTACCTAATGCCTCTAAAGGAATGCAGAACATTAATCACTACTGTGCAAGTCTACCTGAATTTAAAACTTCTTTGGTTGCTTAAATAATCTGTACAGTCTATAGTGTGTTTTCCTTTCATTTGTTTATATGACAGCTTGTTGGCCACTTAGATGTCATGATTAGCCTCAGGTTGGGATATATATCCAGGGCAGGCCTTGCTTCAAACCAGCAGGACTTTGTGAGCTTCAAATCAAACATCAGCCACGGGGCTGTGCTAGTGTACTGGGAGGTGAATCTGTAAATCTTGCACATTAGCCCCAACGGGCAGTGCAGTGGGTTTATCGATGCTTGGGCCTGAGAAGCAGGAGGGTCACACGCAGATTGTTAGGGCCAAGATACATTGGATGGGAATAGTCACAGGTGAAAGAGGAGGTGTTTTGTGTAGGTGAGCAGCATCTTTCTGTAGAGGTCACTTATCTATCAGCAGCTATCTCTGCAGAGGTTGGCAAAACCTTTTATTGCTACCAATTCTGCAAGCAAAAGTTTGGTATTTTATTTAGCTTTGATTATGTCTGGCTCCATTGGACAACACCTAATTTCCACAGCAAATGATAAAATAGAATTGATGGGCTGATGGAAAAAACCATTTATTGAATTAAAAATGAACAAACAAAAAACTGAGAAAAGGGAAAAAAGAAACCAGTTTTGGCAGAAAGGAGGGCCTTAGCAGTACCAAAGCTTTGTGCAGTGGCAAGTGCTAATTAGATTCAGGGGATGTGTCTGCAGAGATGAACATCACAGTCAGCCCAGAGCTGATTTTGTGGCTGCTGGGAGGGGTGTTGTTCCAGGACAGGCACTATGTGAGGTAGTTTATTTGAGTGCCGTTATTCCAAGGAAGAGCCTAATAAAAAGCTGATAATGAGAGTATGTGGAAATATCAGAACCTTTAGAAGGGGTGTTTCTAGATTTTCCTGTGCACTGCTCAAGAAAAATAAGGAAAAAAACCCACCCAGAAGGCAGTGCTGTTGACTAGGAGTTCGAGTGTTCATTCAAGCAACTAGAATGTCTCATTAGAGGCACAATGATGCTGTTATTCATTCTGGAGGAAACAGAAACCCCTCCACTGCTATCTGCACTTGATCGTTGAGAAGTGTCATGCTGAGGAATAACGCCAGCATTTCCCTGCACAGTTCAGTTAGTGACTGCCTTGTGGTTTACACTCGAAGGTGCTCTGTGCTGAAAGGCATTGGTCCCTAAGAGTTTGTCAACATCTAACCTCCGTGGTTTCTCCTCAGTTACAGCCTAGAAGGCCTTGCTGGAGATTCTGGAGAGAGCAAGAAGCCTTCTGCAAACTTGGAGGCTTCTTCTCTGAGCTCCAAAGACCTCAGACGGAGTCCACTTGCCAACAATCAGTGCGGGTCCCTGGTCTTGCTCACTGAAGAACTGGAGCAGGGAGAAATCAGAGACTATGATCACCAGGTAAAGCTGTCTAACAACTCTTAAATGTATAGACAATGCTACATCAGTGTTTTGGAAGCAATCTTCCCAAGTGACAGTCTCACTCTTACATATATAATATTATTAAAATCTTCAATCTTTAACACGGAGGAATTTCCACAGTGTTAAATTTGTTACTTGGTTCTTTGGGGAAACATGGTTGATAGGCGAAGTCTTAGGGTGAGAACGAGAAACTTCCCAGTTTTCATCCACTGATTGCGTGACTAATACTGGAAAAATTAATAACTTTTTAGCATGGAATTAGGGATACTATCAATGGCAGGTGTTGCAAGGCTTCCACGATCAATGCTTATGCTGCCTTTTGCAGTCATGAAATACACGCAAGTACCACGTAGTAATTTATCTGTTAACGTTTTCAGGTTTATTTTCATATCATAGGAGGAAAAATAAAGACTTTTTTTCTTTCATAGGCATAACCAGAATCAAAAGGCCCATTATTATAAGCAACAGTTAAGCAAATTGCATATTAAGAAAATGTAGAGCCATCTCTCTGGAGCAGGACTCTTTGATAGCTGCTAAGGTCAGATAGGCCACAGTATTATGAGACTCTGCTTATTTTTATTAAAGAAGCAATTACAGTCTTAAATACTATAAATATCCTGGATTTCTGAGTTTGAAGTTTGAGCCATAGTATTTTCTGAGTTCATGCCAGAATCATTAGCCAGCCAGTGTGTTTACCTCATAGAGTCACTGCTGTTCATCAAGGCGGTAAACTCATCTTACAAGATCTGGCCTGTATAGCTGCTGAGACTCTCATGTCTTCTCTTGCTTTAAGGAATGGCGTTTTTGGGGAATGGACTGCTAAGCATCACATTTTTTACCAAGTTGAACAACAGTCTGGTTATGCTGAGGAGCTGGAATCACAGCAGTAATTTCAGTGGCCATCAGACACTTAACAATATCTGTCTTGTAATATCTTGCAAGAAAGTCATGCAGTCAGTCTCTGTTTGTTGCATAATTAATTGTCTTATGCTTAGAAGTCAAAACAAAATGTTGCATTTCACCTGTGCAACACCAATTACATTTTTCATGGTCCTTGCCTTATACTTTATATGGGGATCATTTAAATTTTCTGCTGTTTGAAAGTGAGAATTTCAGTAAAAGCAAACACTGAACTGTGTTCTGAAGGTGGGATGGTGCTGTCATTCTTAACATATTTGCTCACTGTGGTTATTTTCTGTTCTGCAGATGCATCAAACATCGCAGCCGCAAGGATTTAATTTCTGTTCTTCCACTGTTTCATCTCCACTGACCAAATCTATGTCTCTAATGTCAATTAGTAAACCAGTGATGGACAGTGAGTAACACAGTTTTCCCTTACCCATTTTGTCATCTGTATTATTAAGTATATCTTGATACCTTCCCAAGGCAGAATTTGCTAGTGCCTGCTCCTGCTTCCCTGTATTATGTGAAATACGTGTTTCACCGCTGCATGTAGCTGTGGGTGGAAAGGCAGAACTTGTTCAGTTTAGATCCATGTTTTCTTCTTCCCAGTTTATCCCTGGTATTTCCAGTTCCATTGGGGTTTTTTGGTGGTGGTGGGTTTTTTTCTTAATTAGATTACTGGTACAGAAACTATGATTTATTGTTACTTAAAAAAAATAGTTTGAATTTCTTCCTTTGATGTCAGGTAAACCCCACTTGAGATCTTGTTTTCCTACGTACAGACTTTTTTGAAAGTTGATGTATGGAAACTTGAGAATCCATGCTGTGGTATCCTTGGGGGAGTTTGTTGCTATTTATTTTGATTTAAATGTTTTGGGGTAGTTGGGTGTAATTTATTGAATCTCATTCTTGAAGAAAATAATGAAAAATGATTAGGTGAAATTTTTCAGTTTAGCTTAATAGAAGCTGTAACAAGCCCTTAATTTTGCAACTTCACTGAATTGATTCTTTCAGCTGAAAAAGTCATTCAGATGGCTGCAGCTGGATGTGCTTAGGAAGGGCCATGTTACACATGTTTTCATTTTATTAATTGCCAGCCAGAAACTGTACTGACATTTTAGATCACATCTTGTCAATCAGTGGTGGCCTCTCATCTTTTCCTCTTTATTAACATGCTTCTTCCTTGCAAAGCTGAACAAGGGGAAGGTGAGTTTAAGAAAGGTGTTTTATTTATTTAAGAGGCTTGCTGGGGGAAGCTTACAGAGATTATGCTTTGTAGGAGAGGTTTTTAAATTCTTCGCCATTGTTCTTCCATGATTAAGAAGCACATGGCCTAACTGTCCCCAGCAGCGGTCACCAAAACAGAGGCAGATCTGTCCTGTGAAAAGGCAGCTCCTGCTCTGTGCAGTGGCGTACCGCCTTCCTCCTTGGGCTGAAGGCCTTCTTTTTTGGGGTGTTTTTAAGCAATCAATTTATTGGCATTGCACCCATTGCTAACCAAACGCCATAACTAACTCAGCTTGCTCCCAGAGAACTCGCTGTCAGTGGCTGAGAGAGCCTGGCCAGCTGAGGCTTCTCTCCCTCTCCCTTAGGTCTTGCCTTCAGGCCCGTGGCGGGGGTTACAACAGTGGAGGATTTGTGCCTCCATCTTGAAGCCAGACAACTTGCCGCCTTTCTGCTTTTCTCTATCTTTGAGCCACGTTAAAAATGCCATTGAGGCCGTAGGTGGTGGTTTGATTATCCCATCTTCTAGATTGGGCCTAGCCATGGTGGTCTCAATTAGGGAGCAGGAAAAGAGGAAGTGTAGTAAGCTTGCCTAGAGGGCCTGTGGAAGAAATAGCGGGTTAGTCTTCTGCTTTGAGGTGGGTGTCTGTGAGGTTTGGACACTGAAGGTAAAAATTATTAATGCTTCTGTGAGCTTTATTTTTTCAGTAGTTAATTTGAGGGCACCTCAGAAGGGCCTCATTTTTATAGGAAGGTGGTTTCTGAAAATCGATGCATTTGCAGCAGTTGATGAGAGCATCCAAAAGATTACTCACCATGAAAATTTATGTCACAGATTCTCTTCCCAACTCTGACACTTCCCTGACTTTGAAAACTTCAGTAAATCACCTTATTCTTCCTCAGTCACTTTGAAAGAGGAATAGTGTTATTTGAATTGGGACCATAAGTACATGTGGAGCAGCTTAGGGCCTTTTACAAGAAGGACTCTGTATATAAACTCCCTTGTATCACCTAGCTTTCACATTCATATTATTGCAGCAGAATATTTCAGAGTCATGCAAGAATCAATCGTTGATTTCATGGAGTTGAATTCTAGAAAAACATTATTCACTCATTCCACTTGCATAAATTTGTGGTAGGTGTTAAAAAAAATTTCTCTGTTCCCTGCAAATCTATCTGAATGGGAAGAAGAAAACAAATTCTGCACAAAAGCTTCAAAAACTAAATCCAAATGAATAAACATATGGAGGGCTTTCTCTTATTTTTCCTGTTTATTGTCATACGTACTGAGGCAGGAGCAATTTCCAAGACTGAGTTTCTAGCCTGCATTCCATCTGATGTCTCAGATGTTCCGCGAGCTGCCGTGGCCATTCACAACTGTTAATCCCTAAGCATTTTATAGAGAGAGGTCACAAGAGCTGTTGGCTGGAGTGCTCGGAAGACTGCTTTCGGCTTTGGAATAGCAAATTTCCAGTGTGGAGCATTGTTATAAAGCCAGGAACTGCTATAAATAAAACCACTGAAATGGAAGTTGAACTGTGCTGGAGGAGGTGGTTCTATTTACAGTAAAGTATTATTGTTCATCTTGACTTTTAGTCTAAATAGACAGCAGACTACAGAAGAAAGCAAGCAGTGATGCCTAGTCATGTTCTTCAGGTCTGGGACATTTGAAGAACTCCTTTGAAATGCAGTCTAAACAGAACTAATGCATGAATCTTGCTAAAATTCTTCAATTTAAATGCCTTTCATTAGGTCCCTCTAGGGTTCTTCTGCTTACATTGGATAAGCGTGCACGTAATTTTAGTCAAATCACCTCTAGGCGGTTGGCATCTGTGAGTAATGACTGCAGAAAAATTTCAGGGGAGTGTGCTTTGCGCTGCTTGCATTGCACTGGGTATTCCTCGGGTAATGGTTTTATATTCTGAATTCACTTTTGGGGTATGATATTAACAGTACAAAAATTTCTGTTTATGTGTGGCTGAAAGGACGTGTTTTGTCTGAACAGAGTAATAATTGCTACTTTTTTCTCTTGGAAGTTTAACACTGATAAAGTCTTTAGGTTCTTTTCCCTGTTGTGCAAGAGAATTGATTTAGCCATGCCATGGAATGGCTTAAAAGTGCCTGAATATATGCACTGAAGGTGGGGGTTTTTTTGATGTCACAGACTGATTGCAGAGTTTGGCACTGTGTTTCGTAGACATCTTCCAGGCAAGGACAGGAGAGGGTGTAGAGGGGCTTTTCTCCTGTTTAGACAGTTTCTTTAAAACAAGGACTGTGAGTTTTAGAACAGAGGAGAAGAGATGCTTGTTTTTTCTGTTTTATTTTGGAAGAAAAGAAATTTAGGTGTGTCTTTTTTAAATCTGGAAACTTTGAAGGGCATAATATTATCAAAATGTTGGGGTTTTTTTAGATACAGGTGCCTGCAGCCTCCCCAGGTGTATAAATTCAATGCTTCAGATAAAGTATCCTTGCTATACCCAGTAGCTTTGGTGCCATTTAACTGCAAAAAGCACCCTTAAACAAATATCATAAGTTGTTCTAGTTTGATTCCCTGGCAGTTACTTCAGCAAGGCAAATGCCCTTTGTCCAGAGAACCACTAAGTTGTTGGTATTCTGTTTGGGAAAATAACTGTTCACATGTAAGTGCTCATTAAGAGTTCTTATAAGAAGGTGATAGCAAGGGTAAGAAAGCTCAAACCTCAACTCCATGCATGCAGTGAGACCTGCATCCTCTGAAACCAGCGTCCTCTGGAATTTGCACTTTCTCAATCCTTTGTTTCTTGTGGCTTTTCTGAAGCCAGCTGCTTTGCAGACATTTCCTTTGCTTTGGTTTTAGTTTGCTTTGGCTGCCTTCCTCTCCTTTTTATTATTAAATGCGTTTTCAAGCATGCTCTAATGTCTGCTGTTAACCCACTTCTCAGCCCAGGGCCGGACTCGACCATCGCGACGAATCTCCTTCTCCTTCAGCATCTCTCCACTCATTCCTAAGTCTAAAACTCTCTTTTCTATTGGCTCTTCTTCCAGTGATGAGGAGGAGGAGGAGTTGGATAGTAAGTAATCGTTTTCTGTGCATTGCAGCCGTTATGGGTGGAAACAAAGGGAAATCTGGTTTTCTGCTTTAGACCTTGAAATTTCACCTTGCAAACATTGAACTAACTTCTCCATTGCCTGGTGTCTAATAGCATTATCTTAGTCCTCTACCTGAATGCTAACCGATGGCAGAATAAAAGGATCGTAGTCCAAAAAGAGTCTTGTACGTCAGCACTATCATGCCTCATCGGGTTAGGTGTGGTCAGTATCCGTGTGGCAAATATCAGCATCTGCCACTCCGACCATGGATACAGGCATTATCTTTTTATTAAAACCAAAATACTTATCTGGACAAAGCCCTGATACAAAGTCCTGAAAATCTTGGTTACAACTTCACAGTTCCCCTGCTGAGCACAAACCATACATTGCAGCCAAACACCTTAAATCGTTGGGCTGTTCACATCTAGGTCCTGATATTATGATCAGAACAGTGGTGTTGGGAAACAGGCGAGTATTATGTGGTAGCTTTTTTATCCTCCTGCAAACTGCATTGCTAAAAGAAACCCACTAAGGCAGAAGATGGAATTCAAGTGATTTAGACTCTTGTTTTTTTCAAATAGACTTATCAAAGATAATTGAAAATGCTTCCTAGTTCTTACGCATGTTTTATTAGACTGTTGAAGTCAACCAGAACATGGATAATTCTAAGGAGAAAATTCAGGGCAGCCGCAGTAGTTGGTTCAAATAAAAGGTTTGCAAGGAATCTAGCCCACATCCCTCGTGTCCGTACTGGGATAGGGGAATTTACTTTCCAGTGCAGTGAATTTTGGTTGCTTCCTGAATTTAAAAACTCTCCACACCATCCATGTTGTAGGTGAATCTAAATTCTCCTCCTTTCCATTCTGAGTCTTCACTGGGAGTTGGTCCCTTCCTACAAGAAAGTCCTGTACTCTTCCCCAGTGCGATACTAGCCACTTCCATAATTAAGCTCCTTCCACTTTGCTCTGTCCTTCTCTTCTACCTTTAACAAAACTCACAATTTATTGTCCCTGTGATGTGGGCTGCAAACGTGCAGCTGTGCCTTGATGTCCTGCTCTCATGGTACAAAGTGCTCTTAGCTAAGCTTCTTGGTGGATTTGGTTTTTCAGTTGTGGGTGGTTTGTTTGTTTGGTTGTTTCATTTTTATTTTAATTTCTTTTCATTTGTTTTAAGCATCCAATCAATTTCAAATAGTCATGTTAGGAAATAGCAATTTGGAGGGGCATTTCTGTTAGCCCTATTTATATTCTCTCCCCCCACAGTGCTGCTGTTACCTACCAATGAGCATTTAAAGTAATGTCAGATGCTGTCTCAAACAAAAATACACGTGTTTTATTCCCTCATATTTGAGGGCACTGTGGTGACTTTATATAAAGGTTGGTTTAGCCACATCTGTTCAAAAGATTGCTTTGGTGGCAATGGGCATTTTTCCTGTAGTAATCCCAGACCAGTTTGTTTATTTTTTCACGTCTTCAGGCTTCATTTCTCATATGAAGATGGATGTGTTAGCAGGGAGATTGCACTTGCATTTCGGTTACCGCTCCTCAGCCTCTCCATGCCTGTTTTTCTGGAGACTATGGAGAACTAGTTGCAGTTTGTTGCCGTGAGATATTTAAGTTGTGG